TCGAAGTCCAACCAATGATCTGTTGATTTTACTACATTTGTCTCATTCCAAAAATGCATTTTTTGTATACCTGTTTATCATACATCAACAAATTAAAGCACCACATAAGCAGTATTATCTTGCTTGCAAGTCGATTTTTGACCTCCTTTTGGCCATTGGCCAGCTAAAAATGGTCGATCAACAAGGTTGATCGAGAAAAATTGTTGTCTAGACTGATGCTATATTTACTCACTGAGGAATTTTCTAAAGTCCCATCGTCAGGAGCCAAGAATCTGTGCTTAGATACGATGAGCACAGCTGCAAATTCATTTTTATCGTTTAGGGCAACAAACTCCTGATATAGGAAACGCAATAAAAACTGCGGGATGGTCATGCCCAGAGTGACGTCACAGACTCGGCCGACGTTCATTTTTTACGCGGCTTTCCTTTCTCCTGTCCTTTAGCCATGTAATTAATCAATTCATGGAAATTAGCTCTATCCTTATCCGAAATATAAATTAATCACAGAGACGCATCGTCGCCAGATTTCGCAAACCGCGGACACCACTGCTGCCTTGCTAAGGAAGAACGCCGCAAGGGCCTTCAGACGTTGCCAAATTTCCGTCGATTAAATACGAAGTTTCAGGAAAATTTGTGATTATTTTTCTTCGATTTTTTCAGAGAATTTTATTGGCGATCGAATCCGAATTACTTGAAAATTTCATGAGAAAATATCCTCACAAATAAGCATTATATCGAAGAACATTTGGCGACTCTCGAATGTTCATACGGCGTTTCTCCCCAACACGGCAGATTTTCTCATTCACTAACCAACTAGTCGGAAAAGATCGTATCCGAATTTCAATGTGGGCTCTCATTAGTGCGGAGCACAACACTCAGAGATTTATCTTCGAATGTTATGTTCATATACTGCCGTGCAAAGGAAAAACGCCGCATGAGCCTTCAGGTGTTGCCAAATTTCCCCTGGCAAATCACTAATTTTCAGAAAATTTTTGGATATTTGTCTACCAATTTCTCAGATAATTTTATTTGTAATTTGATCTAAAGCTTCTGAAAATTACAAGGAAAAATGTTCAAAATTTTCCTCAAAAATAAACATTTTATCGAAAGAAATGGATTTTTGGCGGCGATCTGCCGGCATTTCGAGACGGGACCGTGTCCGTAATGAGAGAATTCGCCAGGTGATGAAGGTTGAGAAAGATATCGTGCACGACGTCATGTCCAGGCAGTTATGCTGGTATGGACATGTGCAAAGAATGTCGGAGGAGAGGTTGCCCAAACAAGTTTTGGATTGGGTACCACCTGGGAAGAGGCGACCGGGGACGTCCCGTAAAGGGTTGGCGGCAGGGCGTTGGCGAAGAGATGTTGCGGTGTCAGTTGCCCGATAACCTCTTGGAAGACAGGCATATGTGGCGTTTGGGTGTCGTAGAACGCCAGAGTGCGTTATAAAGCGACTTTATATATATATCGAAAGAAATTTTGCAACTCTCGAATGTTCAATACGGCGCTCTTCCTTAGCACGGCAGTAAAGCGGAGTAGCGGTGAAATATGTCGGGTGGTTTGCGATGTTTTTCACGGGACTTGGCAATACGGTTTCGACGAGTGAAAGAACTTTTATCATGAATTATTGAAGATTTTGTTTCACTTTTTCCGCCAGAAGCTTGGGAATCCCGGGGCTTTTTCTCCGCGCATCGTTTCTCTTCACTCTTCTCGAGTTATTCCGTCAATATGCTCGGTTCACCAGAGTTCATCCTTGGGTATCGCTTGAATTTTCTTTCGAAAAAATGGAAATAAGCTCGCACTTACATAAAAATACATTTTAAAAAAAGGAAAGAAAGAAAATGCATCACGAAGGAATTAACCAAGATAACACGATATCCATTCGTGCATTGAGTAAAGTGTATTGGCACTGGACAGAGACGAACTTAAGGAGAGTATAAGGTCTTATCCTCCCAATGTAAGACTTACTGATACCAAGGTATTTTATTCCCTTTCAAATCGAATTTTCATTTTAATGACAATCCGAAGACTAACTTTTGCCTGAAGTATCTCGGATTCCTTTCATCAAGTACAACTTTCGACGCCTTAAAAGGATCAAAGTCTGGGAATTAATCAGTCACCCCCCAGATCTCATCAAATAGTTATAATTTATTTTTTTTTATTAAGATGTGACCAAGTTGCAAATTAATCTGTTGTTTGCATACTCATCTTCATTTATAATTTATTGACATTGTGTATAATTTTTAGATAAGAAAGTCACAACAATCTATCACAAGAAAAAAAAAAATCGGCCTTCAAACAGTTTGTTCGATATCTAGCTCTCCCATGATCAAACCTCGTAAGTGACAAGACTAGGCAAAAATGGTAAAATGTCAAACTGATATAAGTGCTGTTAACCTCATCCATAAGTTTCAAGTCTCAAATTTTCCAAACTTCCTTTAATTCTTCTTCTCTTAGTTGACTCCGGCAATTCCACAAAGATTCACTGTTCACTTCCCATCTCAAATTCAGTTCAAAATCCGTTCATGGTCTCTTATCCTGTCTACAATCATCTCAGTGATGAATACTTGATCCAAAAGATTGGGAACAATCGAGATCAGCCAACCATTAATATTACGACACCGAGTATATAGGGTGATCAATAAGATGCCACTAACCCTATTAATAGGAGCATAACCTGTTACACCAGGTTCATATCTATCTGTTAGACCCGCGGACTCTATGTCGGTTCTCCCTCTGAATTTTCTTTTTATCTGGCTTTGTCGGCACGATAAGATAAGACAAAGTCCTATCTGTGCCGTGTAATATATCGATTTTCGATGTCGATGCTGACATAATTTTCAACAATCAAGCCGCCGCTGGTCCTTTTACATCTTTCAAACCTGCGACCCCATGCAACCCTCCTCTTTCAGCGTTCTTATTTTCCATCAAATATCAACGGGCCCTGAAAGCCCGTAACGTGTCCTTTCATTTTCACACATAAAAGTCGCTCCAAAAACGCACTCTGGCGTTCTACGACATCTATACGACACATGTGCCTATCTTCCCTAAGCTTCGGATATGGCAAATTTTACAATTTGCGATGAGCCTTGTTCGAGAGGGTTGGTGTAGTGACCCCTGATAATATTGTTAAGACCATGCTCAAGTCCGAAAAGGGCTAGTCTAAGATCGTGGCCTATGTCCGTGAAGTTCTTCTACCAAAAGACAAAGACAAGATTATTAGTACCCCACCCATTCCCGTCGAAATACCGCGGCGCGGTCAATCCGAGTTTTCCTCCATTGCCTGAGCTTCTTCTTTATTATTTTACAGTCTTCTTGCTTTTTAGTGTACCAATTTTAATAGTTTTCTCTTCGAATATGATCTTTTGAGGAAATTAATAAAAATAAATAATAAATAAATAAATAAATAAAAAATCTCCCCGGAGGTTATTGGGCAAGTGACAACGCAACATCTTTTCGTCCATGCCCTGCCGTCATCCCTTCACGAGACGCCCCATCGCCGTTCATTTTTCCTGTAGTATTTCCCTGTGTTATTAGCGGTGGCTGGATTTGAGCACTTGTGTCTCAAATTCTCAAATCTTTCATTTTATCATCCAGCCATGGCATTTCCAATTGTATGTTGTTCCGTAGTTTTTAAATTTTTATTGTTATTTATGAACATCACTACGGCAACGTTTGGCTGAAAACCGAGCCAGGTCATTAAATTAATGACTTTCAATTAGATTTTGATCTAATGGGTGTTCCGGCCGCATTCCTTTAGAATGCGCATGATGCACCAAACAACTGCAAATTTAACCGGGCAGTCCAAATGTAAATAAACAATAATTAAATTTCAAGGTTAGGTTTAATTAATTGCATAATCAATTGATTTTAAGTCCGTAATAAGGCCAAGGTATCGAGCCTTATCTGAGTGGGGTATGGCCTGTCCGTTATGGGCCTATTTTCTAAGTGCGAAAACCACGTTTTCTGGCTTGGTGGCATTTAAAACTGTCCCATCTGCATCCGACCATTGTCCTCTAACATCCCAAGAATCTCCTACGTGAGTAAGTGCACTCGCAAAAATCGAGGTGTCATCCGTGAACACACCCATCATTGATTTCCTTTAGGTTTAGGGATACCCGCTGTAAATGAGGTGCACAGCAAGGGTGAAAGAATTAAACCCTGGGGTACCCCAGCGTTTGGTGGTTTAAGATCCGAGAATCCATCCTCAAAATGAATCCTACAGTGCCTTTCGGCTTGGTAGGACACTATTATCTGAGTGTAATTTCTGGGTAGAACTCTCGAGAGCTTTTCACCCAGCCGCTGGTGGTTCGCTCTGTCAAAAGCTTGAGCGACGTTTAAGAATATTCCATTGCAATATTGTCTCTTCTTTAGTGATTTTTCAATATAAGAAGTAATTCTGTGCGGTTTCTCAATTGTGCAATGTTTGGCTCGGAAGCAGAATCGCTCATCTATATTTGATTAATTTTTGTTAGCGATTTTTAATAATCTTTTTTTGTAAAGTTTTTCGAATAATTTTAAAAATTCAGTTGCCTTCTACCTTCCACACCGAATAGTCATCGACTTCTCTAGCCCAAAAATTGGAGAGGAATTTCTCAAACATTTCATTTCTGAATTGGTTCAATCTTTTCTGTACACTTTTATTCTTGCAACCCAAAGGNCCCCCCCCCCAAAAAAAAAAACTCTCTAAAAACACTTTTCCCCCCTCTGAAATTAGCCACACTTTCGTTAAAATTAACACTCTAGATAATGACACTCACGAGCCAATCGTTTGAAAATTCAAGGGTACTAAGATGTACTCCTTCACATACGAGAATAAAAACACTCGTCCCTTTAAAGTTATGTTTGAGGGGCTTCACAATACATCAGTCCAAACGAGTAAATTCTGACCTCAAAACTCTATATCAATAATTACCATTAAAAAAGAGAAAGAAAAAAACTAGAGTGACACTTTTTTTACTTTTTGATAATCCCTTTAACGAGATGTTTTTTTGTGTTAGGACACAAGCTCACGTTCGAGCACTATCATCGTGTTGAGGATCAGCACGGTTATCTGGATTATCTTGCTGAGACGTATAAGGACTACGTCACATTGGAGTCCATCGGTACTTCGCATGAGGGCCGGGAACTAAAGCTCATCAAAATCTCAAGCGGATATCCGAACGCATCAGCTATTTGGATAGATGGAGGTAATTATAGTAATTTTATTGTTTTATTTAATCATGCAAGAGAGCACTGAAAATATGAATTCGGGTATAACTCTGAATCATTTTCGGAATATCAAATACTTAAAAAATCACGACGCTCGTATACAATGAATCTTTGTTAAGAAGATTTACGCATTTTGCACAATGGCTCGTCAAATGTGTTTTTTACCTCGACGGACCACTTAAACTGAAATTATACATGATAAAAAACTTGTTTGAAACATTTTCTATTAAAGTAATCGTACACTATCATCGAGGTAATCAGCACCCGAAGACACAAAAAGGAGAAACCCGTTGGTAGTAAGCCACACCCCCTATTCTATGTATCATTATTATTATTATTCTTTAATCCACACCCTGCACAGGATAGTTTATTCATAGTTTATAGTTGTAGTGTTTGCCGAAAGAAGTGAATACCTCTGGGTAAACTTAAACATAAGCCTTTTCTAACTCGATTTTTTTCCGGGAATTCGCAGATACATTACATCACATTAAATACGCAAGTACATTCGTAAATTATATACGCGAGTTCTTATTAATTTACCCATTCCGAATGGAAATTTAAGACGGAGTATTACCATTTGGAAACTAGTCTTCGATGATCTTCTGAATCTCTCACCAAAAGTGTGCGGATTTTTTATCCCACAGTAGGTAATTCACATTAATGACACCTCTCGAAATCGTCAATGAACCCGCAGTAACAAACCATTATTGCGAGCAAGTGACAAGTGAATTATACGGTTTAAACGTGCTGCGAGTGTTCCAAACTGTTTCTTAGATGTGCCTGTGCCGGTTAAAATATTTTTTAAGTTTAAAATAGCCGTTTAAACAGTGATTTTTTGAACCCTCCATGTGATCATTTTTTTTTTAAATCTTCTACAACACATCAAAAACAGGTCCCTAAACTTATCCGATTACTCCGCATTTAATTACATGATAATATTTTAAAGACTTTAGGAATATGTTACCATCATAATATCACCGTAGTACAATTAAACAAGCATCTGTTTTATTGGCCCTTCCCCATCCAAATTCCACCACTCCTCTCAGAAACGCAAGTAAATCTTCAACAAAATTTTTACTCATACAAAACATGTAAATTGTCATTGTTGTTCCGCATCAAGTTTCAAATTTCCAATGTATCAGATTAGTTCTCGGTTTCTCATGTAGAGAAGCTTTCCCGACACCATGTGGGGTGTACTCTATATTCAAATACTTTTACATCATTTTACGTATTCATTCAACCATATTTGAAGTGTCCGAATAATAATTCCATTCATTCAACATGGTGTCCTCACTGTATTAATATATCTTTCCATTCAAAACCATTCATTTTTTTCCCATTGCCTTTAGAACACTGATGACCTTTTCCCAGGGTCAGTTTGGATTCAGAAAAGGGAACTCCACAATAGGCACGTTAGGAAAATTAAAAAAAATTAATGAAGTTGACGTGTAAGATCCTTGATATAGAAAAGAGGAGATGGTTGTCATCGACCTGGACATCAAAAATGTCTTTAACTCATTTGTTTGCGATGGAAGAGCAATATAGAGTTTAACGGACTCGGAGTGACGTTGTACACCTAATAGAAAATAAAAAACCTACGACCACACAAAATCAAAACTATTACTAAAAGTCATTTATCGAAAAGAGCTAGCAACCATATATGCAAAGTTAATCTTAATCCTGATGCACAGTTCCCGCGCATAATGTAAATTCCAGCCACTTCGAAATTTTACAGAAACCACACATTATCAGAAATTATAAAAAAGTTATTTATTGACGAGAGTGAATCATAATAAATTTTACACGTGCGCATTCTTTGAAATTCATAGTGGCTGTAGCCAAGGTACCTTTTCCCTCTTTCACTCTGGTACGTCACCTTTTGATAGTTGCGGAGGGCACGCGAAGGGTAGAGAAAGTGAACAATAAGCTGCCGATGCTGACACTATTGTGGTGAAGAGTTTGCCTTTAAGAAAACCATCTATAGTAAGACCATCTACATTTTTACCTCAGATCCAGTATAAATATCATTACAATAAGGAGCTTTTCAATGATTGTGTTAATTTTTGCGTATTTTGCAATTATCCGATCAAAAATTCCATCTACATACCGGCTACCATGTATGATCCTTGGCAAGTTTTGCGATCGTTTGGGGAAGTTTTGAACCATTAAACCCTTGTCTGAGAAGGGAAGGTAATCGTTCGACCAGCTGAAAACGGGAACTCGCGAACCCAGCCTAACTCACATAACCCAGCATAACTTTATGAGAAAAACATCAGATTATTCGCTCGTTCATTTTCGCGCAACCAAAAACCATCCATTTGCTACTACAAAATACACTAATTCAAATGGTGTCGATCATTACATGAACCAATGTGATATTCACATTTTCACATTGACTAAACAGCGAGGCCAACATGGAACACCGTCCGACGATTCGTACGACTAAACGGTTTTCTTATTTCCGCGCTGATGATAAGAAATGAGCTGAAATTCTTTGTCAACTCTCCTGCGGCGTGGTTGAATTAAGCACCGATGATAGAAGTGCCTTGATGCAACTATTCGCTCTCAATGGATGTGTGTGTTGCCTATGCAGGAAGTATGAAGGCACTTTTAAAGTGGCAGCGAGTGAACGAGTCATTAGCTTGCTGAATGCTCCGATAAACATCGATACGCCAGGAACAGCTACTATCTTGACAGTTTCTGGTCTCCATATCCAATTTACTAGAGCTGTTGCCAGCTTCAGAGTCGATTCGTTTTAAACGTTCGCAACATCACTAAAAATGCAACTCATGGCTGAAACTTATGAGCTAATGTATTTAGAGATTTAGGAAGTGTTTAGGCGCTGAGAAATGATTTTTTCGATTAGTATTTACCAATGCTTGTAGCTTGAGTCGTAGTGCAGTGCTAGCGTAGTACTGTTGAGTCGTAATGCAGTGCTCAATATTTATACGCGGAGAAGTGAGCACCAGGTCATCACCTCATTCACGTCTGGATCTTCCGTAAAATATTGTGCTGATCACTAGTGAAGGACTGGAAATACACAGTATACAACAAAAAGGAGAAAAAGGCAATGTTTAGCATCGGAAACTTAAAATTTATATGTTTGACCTCAAAACGGGTTTTCCACTTGAGTTTACATCTCATCACACATTCTGACCGATTTCATCACATTTCATGGACGGTCCTGTATCGTTGCCTCCTTACTTTTGGAAACACTAATTTCTTCCCCTCTCTACCCTGTCTCTCCCTTCTCTCCTCCCCCTGTCGCCCAACTTTATCAGCTCAAGCCCATGTCAAGGTCCCCCTCACTGAAACAAATAGATCGGTCGTATGAATCAAAGTTCGGTGTTCCATATCATCCCAACTGATGCGGTTCGTGAAACTGAATTTTCGGTTTGGCAAACCGAACTTTCGGTCGCGCAGCCAAACTTGTGCGGTAAAGCGAGCTGACGAACTAAGTTCGGTCGTATATGCCGAACGTTCAGTTCAGTTTGACAAACCGAAAGTTCATTTTGACAAACCGGAAGCTCAGTTTGACAAACCGAAAGTGCATTTCAACGAACCGGAAGCTCAGTTTGACAAACCGAAAGTGCATTTCAACAAACCGAAAGTTCAGTTTGATAAACCGAATATTTGGGATGATACGGAACACCGAGCGTTATGTTTACATGACCGGTTTTTATTCGCCAGTGCTCTTTTTGTGAAATCTCAACGTTCGAAATGTATTCCGAACTGTAACCGAAAGCTCAGTTTAAGAAACCAAAAGTTCAGTTTGACAAACTGAGAGTTCAATTTGATAAACCGAAAATTTGGGACGATACAGAGCACCGAACGTTCGGTTCACACGACCGATTTTTTTTCTCCAGTGCTCTTTTTGTGAAATCTCAACTTTCGAAATGTATCCCGAACAGTAACCGAAAGCTCAGTTTGACAAACCCCAAATGCAGTTCAACAAACCAAAAGTTCAGTTTGACAAACCGAAAGTTCAGTTTGACAAACCAAAAGTTCAGTTTGATAAACCGAAAGTGCAGTTCGATAAACCGTAAGTTCAGTTTGATAAACCGAGAATTTTGGACGATACGGAACACCGAACGTTCGGTTCACACGACCGGTTTATTTTTCACGAGTGCTCTTTTTGTGAAATCTGAATGTTTGAAATGTATTTCGTTCAGGAATCCACGCGCGGGAGTGGATCGCCTCGGCGACGGTGCTGCACATCGTGCGGGAGCTGACGGAGTACCGGGACAACTTGCCGGAGGAGATGAAGCAGGTGGACTACTACGTGGTGCCGATGGTGAACCCGGACGGGTACGAGTTCTCGCACAGCGCCTACCGGAACCGGCTCTGGCGGAAGAACCGGGCGCCCGGCTCCGGCTCCTGCCAGGGGGTCGACCTCAACCGCAACTACGGCTACAAGTGGGGCGGCAAGGGGACCAGCAACTACAAGTGCAGCGACATCTTCCGCGGCGCCGGACCCAACTCCGAGCCCGAGACCAAAGCCATCGCCAACTACATCGGGAAGAAAAAACCCGAGATCCAGGTGAGTTCCACGCAGAAAAATAGAACCGCGCTGAGTACCTGAATCTCCACCTCAATACATGCGGCGAATGATGATTTGAACGTATTTATGCTATGAGGAACTATGTGCATAGGGTTTGTGTGCAGCATACTTCATTACGTACATACGAATAAGTACGTCCATTTTGTTTCCCCTTCCAATCCGCACTTGGGCACAGCCGGCGACTATCGTCAGCACACTCCTCCTTTACTTTCGCACATACTTCCTCTACTAGGCGACATCTTTTCCTGCACTCCACCACATCCAGCGGACATTAAAGCAAAGTTGGTGCTCAGCGTGGTTCTATTTTTCTCCGTACAGGCTCTTGTCGAATAAGTAGTTGCTGTCACAGTGCTCTCTAGCGCTCTGCGACATCCAACCGTCACAGTATCGTTTTACGGCCATTCAGAGTGTCGAGACTCCCTCATTTGGACGTATTCCTACTAAACGGACCTTTATAAACGAGTGGGAAAGATAAGGTGTGCTCTAGAAAGCTGCCTAAAAGACAATGTTAAAGTGGGCGTGATTCCTTTCGAAGAAATGGAAAAGCGGGATTTTACATTCTGTCAGACGGAACTATGTGCCAATTGAGTGCGGTGGCACTCTTGAACCGTGGGCATGGGCAAAGAGCGTTGTGGACAGGGCTCATGAGTTAATGCCAACCAAGAGTGACAACGGAGACGGCTTCGTTGCCGCTGACGTCACTGGCGCTTTGTAACTCCCATCCATTTTTATGGCCCTCGGAGACCGAGCACATCCCTTCTTCCCCACCGGTCTCTGGTTACGTTTGGCAGAAATACGTCCATTTCATTTAAAATCCCCTGTCATCGCCAGCGGCCCGATTATTGAATTTATGTTGGTGTGAGTAGATAAGACAGTCCTTTCTTAAGAATACAATATATTGCATTTTGATGTCTTATCGTGCTGCTTTAAACTTTCGAAAATTGGCCAGCGGAGCTGGATTAGCTGGGGTGCTGGAGCACTCCAGCCCCCTCCCCAAAACAGTTATTTTTTTCTTTCTATGAGTGGTCCGATCAAATCTTTTAAGAACCTCTGGAGTCTTGGAGATTTTGAAGGATTGAGGAGATCCTGTATGAAACTGGTATTTCAGGGGTCATAGAGTCCTTTAACTTTAGGATTTAGGACTTCTGGTGACTTCCTGGAAAATTGCGACTGAAAATTCGATGAAATTAAGGATGAAAATTGCCCTGCACACAAAAACGTTCATCGGGTTCTTGAGACCGATTTTTTGATGCACTAAAAGAGAATTTGTTATTTTTTTGGGTGGTGGGGGGTGGAGGGTAGCATTTGAGCCAAATCGTTTCGTAAATGATTTTTTTATCGTTTTCTTGAAAATGTGAACCCCCTTCAATTTACAAAGTATACAATCCGCAATAAGCGGGCCCTTTTACGACTGAACATCACCATTTTACGATACTTTTGACCGCCAAAAATAAATTAGGAGGTTAGGTGTCCTTGGTAAAATTGACGAATTTTCCTCTGATGTTCAAACCGACGCAAAATTCAGGCAATTTTCTGAAATTCCCGGAAATACTTGGTCCATGTCGAGGTAAGTGTTTTTCAGGTAGCAATTGTCTGTAATGCAAGTCTTCGGACAAATTTAAGTGAGTTATAAGCTTCCGGGTCTTAATTAATAAGTGAAATTCACTCACGGAAAAGTTACAGCCTTTATAATAATGAGCTTGAGGCAATTAATCAGTAAAAGTCCTCAACTCTGAAGGACGCATTCCTTCCTTCAGGCCATTGAGATGAATTGAGCTACAGCTGGAACCTCGAGTTAAAAAGGCTTGTTTAAAAAGACCCTCTCGATACGAAAATGGCTCATTGCGTTGGTTGTTTTGGACGCCGGGTTCTTCTCGCGATGGCACTCCCGCTTTTTCTCTCTTAAAATAGAAATTGATCATCAACACCCAATCATCCGTCACATCCACGTAAATTGACACATCCTCTTTCAGGCTCCTGGTAGCTAAAAAATCGATTAGCTGAAATTTCGGGTACACAGTTTTTTTTACCTACTTCATGTTTTCTCTAATACATTCCAAAAGCTACCAGCGCGGAATTCTAGGCTTCGCCGAAATAAAACAAAATGCCTAAATCATGAACAAGGAGGAGGTATGGCAACATAGGTCAAAAAAAAGTTTTTTTGGGTGGCTGATTCCAAATTAGGAGTTTCCTGCAAAGAACAATCCCTGAAACCACACCGAAGGGCAAGTGTAGGAGTATTGCTGAACCCACCTGAAATGAGAAACCATGCTGTTTTTATAGACAAATACAGGAAGAAAAGAAAAGACAAAGGTTGATGGTTGCTATAAAGCAGTAATACAGTAGCGTGCGATTGAAATTTTTATGAGTCACTTACTCACCACCCTTACCACACTCAACCCCTCAACCATCATGAACTGTCCTGCTGACCAAGACCACTGACTTTGTGAGAAATGTTACCATAAATTTATTATTGTTATAAATATCACAACCATCAAAAGTTCAACCGATTCAAAGGTTGCTCCTATTACACATCCCTTACGATGTGATTCAGATTACTATGATTTTTAGAAAACTGACGACTGAATGACCCCTCATCAAAATCACGCGACTGAGTGGGGGACCCACTCCAACACCTTCTTCGGAAACCTGCTATCAGCCATTCTCTGCACATGCCCATACCATACCAATTGCTTGGTCATGATATCGTGCACAATCGTCCCCTCAACGCCCAAATATTTTTAAAATATATTTAAGGATACATTTACTTGACAATATTGTTTCAATATTGGCAATATTGCTGCAAAATTGGCTCACCGCCGGAGGAGTGCGGACTAGGTCCGATGCAATACAGTGCAGATCGAAGAGGCTCCACGAGCCGCAGGTGCGGTTCTAGGGGTTTGGTTCAGAGTTTAGCGGGCCCATCGCGCAGGGCCAAACTCTCATAATCAGTCGTGCTTGATGGACGTTAGGATTCCTAGCTTGATTGGGCCAGGGGCGTGGGACCTGATTATCAGCCGGTCCGCGTCTGTTATCTGGATCCCAGGAGGAGGACGAAAAACTCTCCCCAAGGTGCACTAGATTTGGAGGAGGGGGGACTTCGTGGGTCCCTCGTAATCTAGGCACGAGAATGCAGATTCCACAAAAAAACAGAAAAAATAACCACAATAAACAATAATGATATGTAGAAAAATATGACGAATAACATGTTGATTGTTCTGAATATTACAACCACCAAAACGTGATAAATTGCTTCAAATAACGCACCTTCACACGTCATATTCTTACTACGGAGAGACATTTAGACTGTCATAGAGGCTAGTCACGCTTTTAATCGCTCCTTGTTTCGTGTGCTTTTTTGGAAAAAATGCCCTTTTTCTAGTGCTGAAAGTTATATCAGTCTCACCCTTTTGTATAATAATGCTGCATTTTCACTTGCATTTTTTTTATTCTGAGAAAAATAAAAGCCGGGAAGAAGGGTGAGAGCGTTGTCCATGGCAGAATTAAAGGAGAATTGGTGTACAAAGTTTTATAAAAGAAGGAATTTTTTTTCGGGATATGAAGGGAGCCACCGTCTCCCCCACCATCTGCATTTCAAACTGTCTCAAATGCGACGCCTTTAAACATGCATTCAACAGAGATGCACCAAAGAAGATAAAAGACTCTATAACTGTGGTGGTAAGGACCACGTACGAAGAGGATGCAAAGATTAGAATACAACTGAAATTAAGTGTATTCTTTATGAGTGCATGCATTATTTTCCTCTCTGAAACACTTTTTAGAGCAGAAATAGACCAAAAAACTCTGCCAGAATGTTGCATACGTTTTTAAGTGGCTTAGAAGACTTGACAAATGACAAGCTGTCTACACAACAATATATTAAAAGCAATAATCATAAACAATCATTCAGTATTTTGCTCTCATACAGTTCCACTTAATAATTATAATCCGGTACCTTGTTCACTTAGTTTACCTTAGTGAAAGGAAAACCTCTAACCAGCACATGCGTTTACAAAAGAGATGTCATGTTTTATTGCACTTCCAACCCGTCTACTCAACCTTAAATTGCTCTAATGATACCACTCCTCGACCTCTGATGGTTTAGAAATCATGAAAATCTTTGAATAATAAAGTATTTTGCCTACGTATAGTTATTCGTTCCAATGAAAGAGAGAGCACAAAAATTAACACTTACACCTGGTATAAGTACACGCGTTAAAAGGTGGAACGAGATGGAGACCACAGGTCCACTGCGGAAGAAAAGACTTCGATTGCCCGATGAAGCGGTTATTTATAGATACCGTGACATTATCAATGGTTTGAAGACTTGGATGCCTTTGATTGGATGGTGGAGAATTGTCGTCACGGCACACACAACAACAGCGCGTGGGGCTATCAAAGGAACCATCGACATCAAGATCTCTTGATTGATAAGTAAAAGGAAGTTGGAAACAGGATGAAAACGCTCAATTCCTTGATTCTGGAAGACAGAGATGCTGATTAGAGAAACAAAGAAGCAACACTGAAAACAAATTATTGAAATTGCCGCCAGGAAATATTAATTTAAATCAAGAATGCTGTTTTTGTAGTAATATAAGCTACTTTTTTGCTTGGTATAATCATTTTTATCTTGTCTCTAGACAAATTCAGCTTAAGTCAAGATGAAAAAAATCTCTTGGCGGCAAATTGATGCCCGTATACGTGGTAAATTAAAAAAAAAAAAGTGTTACAAACTACGCAGATTGCGCGATATGGAGTGGAACTCAGACTTTTTTGATGTGCCCGTCGCAATTTTAGAGCGAATTTTCCCTTAAAAAATGTATGCAGTCGACTGTATCTCTTGCTTGCAACATACCCATTCTGGGCATCTTTTGCGGTGACTTTCATCCTCTCTTGAGACTCTATTTTTTCACTTTGTTTTAAGGATAAAATGTACATCCAAAAATGAAAAACTTTTAAATCATATGGTATTATAGGTATACAGCAAATATGTTAGTTTTCAATCAGGATCAGGAATCGTTTCTCTCAAGAAAACTCTCTCGGGAGTACAATTTTTGTCCTACAGGTTGACATATTTTCAAGGGGGGGGGGAGAGGGAGGATTCTTTCAGACTCAGAGAGAGGGAAAAAATCCTCAGGGAGAAAAAGAGGATATTTCTCTAAGAAGCCCAAAAAAAAACTCCCCCAATTTCAAAGTTAAGGAGCAGCTCTTCAGAAAATTCCTCACTGGGCACCCCTGATCAGGCTTGAGTCAAGCACTTTCTCATCGGTGGAGTGGATCAGCAATGTACCCATAGGCGTCGAGAAAAACGTGCTTGTTGAAATGTACTCCACAGGATTTACCCAATCACATTTGGACTACATTTTGCACTAACGGAATGCTATTCCTAGTTCATTCATAAAAACACCTATCTGAACAGGGGAACTAATGGATCATATGTTGGTTTTTTAAATTAGTCAGAAACTGTACCTCCCTATTGCAAAATGTAGTTCAACAGATGCGATAGTTCGGAAAAATGCCCGATTTCGAAAGAGAAAAAAAAACCTAGAAAAGGAGATTAAAGCTGATTGCAGCCAATAATTTTTATGAATGGAAAGTGTTCTTTTTATGTAACCTCACACCGTTGATTAGTATCGATTCGTGGGGCAATCTGAGATCATCTTCTATAGGCAAATGTATTAACTACCTAAATCTTATTTCTGATCCCTGGCAGTCAGGGTTGCAGTTTTTCATGAAAAACTGAATCTTGCATGAAATTCCGTGTGAAATACTTCTTGACTTTTTAGAGAAAAATGGAAGACGTTGACACATTCTACGAATTTGAATTCAAAAATAAATGAAAATCAAATGGTTTTTCCTTTTTTGTATGCTTTAGTACGTGTTGCAAATCTAAGTCCCAAAAATGTGTTTCAAATTATTCAAAATTTTATAAAATTTCATGCAATACTTCACGGAAATTTCCAATTTTTCATATTTTTCGTTTCACTGGTAGTGCCACCCTGGTAAAAATTGGCAGTAGAATCTGTGTTCCAAAATACCATAGATCTAAAGCAGGCTGTAAGATTTTCAATAGCATCTATAGCCGGCTGCACAATTTCACCGTAAAAAAAGTGAAGTTGATTTAACATTCTGGATGTAAAAAAAGTGTGCGAGAACTTATGAAATGCTGAAATAACTGCCACAACAATTACTTTATCAAAGCCAAGATGTAAAATTAACTGCTGTGACAGGTAATTTAGCATTTTATAAGTTCTCGCACACTTTTTTTTACATCCAGAATGTTAAATCAACTTCACTTTTTTTCGGTGTTCTTATAGCCTTTTATAGCCGATGGCGATTGAGCAACAGCCAGGCGATAAAGTGTATGCTACATGCTACTAATTACGGATGCTAGGACTTAGTGAGTTTTTGGACTACCGCTCTATTTTTGGGCCGTAGTATCTTGATTTATTCTGCGCGGAAAGCTCCGTACTTTTGAAGGATGCCTGCCATTCCTAATATGTTGGAGCGCCTTCAATTTCGTATGATACTGTGCAATACCTCTGGTGTGAAATAGTTGCTTCAAGCGCCGTGGCCCGGCAGCCAGCGCGATAAGCGCCTTAGCGCCTACAAACCTAACAGGGATACTTCACGCATTGCGCCATGCGTGAAGTATCCCTGTTAGGTTTGTAGGCGCTGGTGCGCGCTTATCGCTGGCAGCACGCCGCTCCGCTCTGTGTTAGGCTCCAATATAATCTTGCGGAGGCAGCATTTTTCAACTCATGATTTTGAAAGGTTTGCACATCCTGTATGGATTATTCTCATTTTAATTGATGAATAAAAATATGTATTAAAGGAAAATATAATGTGTGTTTTGTGAATATTATGGTGGTTCCGTATCAAACTTAATGATTTCCAAAGCACACGAATTCCTTCACAATTTCTTATAGCCTTTTATAGCCGATGACGATAAAGTGTAAAGCCCGGCGATAGGAACTATAGCCCAGCTGCATACTTTTTTATCGCTTCGTATAGCCCGGCTATACGATTTGCTCCGCTTTCTACAGCCAGCTATATGATTTTCTATTGCCTTCTTTAGCCGGTTATAAGAATTCCTATGGTATTTTGAAACGCAGCTCCTATCGCCAATTTTTACTAGGACAGTCTGTTCATTTTACATCTCCTTTAATGTCGAGGTTGGTAACGACTCTGTTCTAGATATATAGTGTGAGAAGGCTGACTTCTCTTTTGATTCCTTCCATGAAACGCTCTTTCCATGCTCTCTCAATTTATGTGTTGTAGTTAAACACAGCGTTAGAGATAGACATAGACATGGCGTTTTTCAGTGAGCCTCTAAAAAATTATTTTTCATTTTTCAGGGCTTTCTGACTTTCCATAGCTACGGACAGTACATTCTTTATCCTTGGGGCTACGACAAAAAGCTACCTCCTGACTACGAGGATCTGCAACGTGTTGGTGACATCGCAGCGCAAAGAATAAAAGAAAAGCAGGGTGTAAAATATAAAGTTGGCAACAGTGCAAATATGTTGTACGCTGCAGCTGGTAAGATAATTTTTCCATGTAAAACATTCATATCCATGTTCCACCTCGAACAGATTCAAGGGAACAAAATGGAAGCAAAAAACGAAGCATTCGAAATTTACACAAATTTTTTTATACACCTACGGACTTATTATTGAAATTGATAGACAAACCAATAGACAAAGAAAACAACAAAGCAATTCTAATGGTCGATAAGGGTAGTTGCTATGAACGAGAGAGGTAAATAATGGACTTACCAAGAGCAACTCACAAGATATCCTAACCCTAAAGTCAGTCCATCATTTCCCTCTCATTGTCAGTCTATAACAACCACTTTTTTCAACAAATAGGATCGTTCCATTGTCTCTTTGTGTCCTTTGTCTATAACTTTGTCTATCAATTTCACCAATGAGCTAGGAGAGACTTTTGAGAATACACGGTAGGAAACAGTGGAGGGACCACAGACTACGTTTCAGGAGGGCCATGTTGTGATACATTTAAACAATCAAAACAATTTTTGGGAGATAGACAGTGTTGCGGTAAAAATCAATAATTGTTTGCTTCATTGACACAATAGGCAACGCTAGCATTGATTTAAGGTGTAACAGAAATTAGCAGACGAACACTAAACGAATTTCATTAAAACGCCTGGATGCAACTAATCGGCCTCCACGGATGTCCGTATTGCATACGCACGCAAGTGAAGGCGTTTTGACTCCTCGGACACTTGCTGCTGCACCCTCGCCGCGGCAGCGGGCAGTTTTGCAATGTAAGGATTAAAAATGACCGAGCCCCTTCAATTCTTCGCTTATTCTACAAAGATATCTCTCATGCACGAATCACGGAAAAAAGAGGTAGGGATTGTTAGATGATAAGGGCCTTTCTAGTTAACTGTGGTAGTACCCTAATGATATGGGTCACTGACCCAATTCGAAGTGCGGTACTGCACCACAATTAATTGTAAATGCCAATATCATCGAACAACTTGAAGGTGTGCCACAATTTCAGGGGATGACCTCTAACACTTTTTTCCCGTAATAGTTACTCTACAAATTAAGCACATCGATAAATTAAAACTGGAACAGAAAAAATGCTCGCCCATTCAATAATCATCTCGCAGGCCTATTCATACGAAATAATTGCTTATGAATTCTAGTTCTCCCATTCTATGTCCCAGAAGTTCCGGGATTCGGAACTGTTGTGTTCCAATTTCTCCCACTCCATAACCATAAAAAGTTTCGGGATTCTTTTTAGATTTTTTCAAAAGCTCCGAAAAATGCAAAAGATACGGAATAATTCGGGAATTTCAAGAGTTCCGGGAAACATTCCGGACAATCTCAAAAGTTCCGAAATTCGGTACTAGTCCCGGGTAATATGGGAGCACTGATTAATTCTCTAATATATTACGCCATTTTATTCATTTATTTTATTTTATTTTTTTCCTACCAGGGGCTGCCGATGACTGGGCTAAGGCCTACGGGAAGGTCAAATACACTTACACGGTGGAGTTGAGGGACGAGGGTAGTTACGGGTTCGTCCTCCCCTCCTCAGAGATCACCGCCTGCGGTAAAGACGGATTCGAGGTCGTCCGAGCTGTCGCCGAGGCCCTGGTCAAGACTTCCGGATAGTACGTCGCTCAACCTGTTTTCAAAACCAAACTCCCAACGTGTGTACAAACGTGGTTCTTCCAGGTTTACACAACTTTTCACCACTGTGTGGTGCTGTAGTATCTCCGCAAGAATCTATCGCCGTAGTGTGTTAGCATTAGACTACATTTGGACTGCATTTTGTAATATGGAACTATAAATTCTGGCTCCTCTGGAAAAACACTTATGTGCATAGGAAAGCTGATGGTACATACGTTGTTTCTAAGCTGAGTCAGAAATTATAGTTCCTAATTGGAAAATGTAGTCCATTTTGCAATTAGGAACTACCATTTGTGGTTCACTTAAGAGACGACACATGTGCCATTAGTTTCAATATATAGATAAGTGCTTCTATAAATGAGCCCTAAACGGTAGCTCCTTACTGCAAAATGTAGTCCAATTCGTCAGTCTTCGGATGGAAGAACGTAACTAAATTTTAACGTTGCGAAACTCTCACTCGTAAATTGCATTCTTACGAGAAAACTATTTGATATTATTCCTAACTAAAAATTTCACCGACTGTTCCTCCGCTTACCAGCAAAAATCAGTAAAATTTGGACAGGACCTGCAGTCATATAGTAAAAAATTGAATTATATGAGTCAATTTTGCTGCCTTAGAATTGAGTTAGGTTCCTCCGTCTGGGAATCGGCGAGATTAGTGGAGGTTGTGACATTATGTCACATTGGTACGCACAGGTACACTGAGAAAAAGAGTTGTTGGTGACCCAGATAATCGCAGATGGTGCTGTACAGTACACCAACAAAATCAGTATTTCACATCAATCCGTTGGTTCAACACAGTAACTATTACCAGAAGACCAGTTGATGTAGACCACTAATTTTATCCGTGTGCAGCACCAACCAGATTATTTTCGCCTTTTCTTGCTCATGAAACACCAACTTTCTTTTTTCCGCACAGCACATTTTACAGTGATGATCACCAGAATGTGATCCTATGTGTCGCGAGTATGACCATCATTATATTCTTTGCGTAGACGAATAAATACCTTTCAATAGTTTTTTGGTGACAAATAGAAACTTCCAGTTTCGGAGCTCATCAGACTAAAATATTCAAAACCGTTTGTTCGAAACTGTGGTTCAATTCCTAGTGATGCAATCTTGAAAACCTCGGAATCATATTCTTGTTGCCTGTTGAACAACTCTAAGAGTAATTAGTTAAGCAAAACATGTGATTTTTTTGACCCGAAGCACCACAGCCAAAAAGATGGTAAGATGTTGAATCTTCGAGAGGAAAAGTTTTTGTCTTCGCTGAGACACCTTTGGAGGCTTTTCATTTGGTTCTGATATATTCAGAGTATCTAACAAATTAACAGTTTCATTAATATTACTAGATGGTACCCTAAACGGTCATGTTGTGCATGAGGCCTCAGATATTACGTTTTGAGATAAAGATTTTTAGTTTTACTCTAGAGAGCTTCATATCATGTAGGAAAGCAACGAATGAGATGATTTCCGGATTGTATATCATAGCAGGGTTGCGTCTCAGCCTGAAAACAACCCTTAAATCTTAGCTATAAACTTTAAGAGGGAGCAGATGGTATTTTGTGATTACTGATGTAAACATTAAGTACGAAGAAAGGAGTATTTGTTTCGTAATAAAACACCAAATTAGTAGTCAAATAATAATGGAAATGAAATGTGGTGCAGTTATTGATCCATAATTTGTTGAGTCGCTTGGTATGAATTATTCTTAAACTCACTTACAGCTTTAAGTAGATAATTTTATTCTCAGAGACTGCCATTCTATCATATTTAACACATTTTTCAGGGATATAAACATGCTTTACGATTAGTTTGGCCAAGCGAATCAGATTGGAGCCACGCCACTTTTTTCAAAAGATTTGAGGCGGTTTTGAATAAGATCTTAACGACATTTTTGTTTTTGGAAACTCATAAACGCATAACATAAAACAGATTTGAAAACTGAAAGCCATTGAGTCGACTCGGAGGATTGGAGGTTTAAAATTGTGAATCTCATTCCTTTATTATGAATTATTCTTCTCGAAAATTACACTTGGCTGCAAAACGCAATGCAATTAGCGAAGTACATGTTCACATTTTGTGCCAGTTTTTTTATTCCGATCAGAAGACATCTCCCTTCAAGGCACTACTTATGAATCAAAGATAAATCGAAGGAGGCAAATTGGTACATTCAAAACATGGAGTAGCATACAGTTAAGGAGGAAAATAATTTTTAATGACTCTATATTGCAGTTTGTCAATTATGCCTCATCTAAGTCTCCTCCTTACGCAATGAAATGGAAGTTGTTTACTTTTCTCTTATTTGTATGCGCAAAAGTATCCGCGGGTATTGAGGAAGTTGAAAAGTTATAATTGTACCTGCTACCTGCTCTTTGTGAACGCTTCAGTCTTTGAGATCTGAATTAGAAACATTTAGATGTTACTATTTCATAGTCCTTATAACTAAACAAAATTCTGAGGAAATAATAAAGTGATATTTTTCTCTTTTGTAAATAAATTTTGTCTTTTTTCATTGACTATTCCACCTTAAGTTTTGTAAACAAAATTATGTGATTTTCTCCACGAAAGGATCTCAGAAATTGTTTCTCCTTTTTTGTAACAACTTAACTTCACCTAAAATAATGAGGAATTAAATGGAGGAAATTACGGCTCATCTGAAAATGCAGTTAAGCCCTTGCATCAGCGGAGCAAAGGAATGAAAATTGACTAAATTTTGTAATTAGAAACTACTATTCTGGCTTGATTTTAGAGACAACAAATATGCGTTTCTTGGGATACGAGTATTTCTTTCACTGAGCACCTCTCAAACTTTACTCCTTAAAATTTAATTGTTACAATCTCTTTTGGAATTTCCACTTGGTAGAAAATGATTCGATGCTGAAAAAATGACTGCTTCTCGATATCGACGAGAGTTTGCGATGATTTTTTTCTCTTTTTTGCAGTAGACGAAAAGCGCTCGATGAATCGATCGGCAGCAATTGGCTGGATTCGTTAATGGAGAAATTAAGGCGGACACTAAACATTTTTTTGGGGTCAACGCTTACGATGAGACGGTCTGAAACTAAACGTGCCTGACGAATATGTAAATGTGCCATATACATCTGTTTTGACTTTTTCCTCCGACATAAATGGTGACAAAAACGCTTCCCTTTTAAAAACATTGCTCTCGCAAATTATGCACATCGATATTATTTACTCACACTTTACCGCTATCTAATGGAGCTGTGGAAGAGGTCTTGCTTTTCATAGCTTTAGATGAACCAGACAATAAAACGCAAGTGGTACGACAGCCTATCAATTTTTCCGTTCAGCTTCCTCTAACACAATTAATTTAATTATAGTTTCATCCGAGAATTTTTCATCACAAGATTTGACGGGAACGTGATGGTAAGATTTGGTGAAAATTCGATCAAATCGTCTAAAAAATTTCAATCTAAGTTGTTGATGATTGCATTCTACTCATGGAAGCATAATCTGATACAATGGAAGGAATTGTCTGATCTTCACTATAAGTTGTCGCAATTTGACAGAGATTTTATAAAAAATGCCGAGGAATGGTGAAAATTCAATCAATTAAGTTTCAGTAAGCATCAAAGATAGTAAGTACTCAGTAATTATTAGATGAAGTTACTCAAAAAGTTGGCCAACTGTAAACAGTTGTGGACATGGCTGTGCAATTAAACAAGGCTATTTGAAGTGGGTTCCTCGGTGGCTGGTAAATCAATTACGCTCTTTCGATGATATTATAAATGTAATGTTATCGAACTGAGCAACAACAAAAACTGTTCGCAAATAAACTTCTCTGTCATATCTATAGCGCACGAGACTTCATTAAACCTCGGATGGAGCTAATGTGTGTGGCGACAATTGTATAGCTCAATTCTGTATAACTGTGATCTTGAAACAAAAAGGAAATGTGACACAAATGTACCCATAAACGGTTTGCAGGGGATGAATCTGTGGTGCGTGTGGACTTAAAATCGCGAAAAATCAAAATCTAGACAATTTGCCAAATTGACAATTTGACAATTTTTTTCCTAGTAAATGCAAGTTTTCTATACCGATATTAATCCGCTTTTTTATTTATTTGTCCATTGAATCGGTATTGATTGGTTCACGTTTTTATTTTTCGTTTGATTCATGTGGATCGAATACATAGCCTCTTGATACATGCAGACTACCTATCATACTATTTTTTTTAACTGAACAATTTGCCTTCTGCTGGGTTTTTCGAGAATCCCCCATAAAATATACCATAAAATACAACCCTCTAGTTGGCAACAATCATCATCATCATCATTAATATAAACTTCGAAGGATTCTGCCTTTTTCTATTTCACTCGAGGGGAAGTGTCCCCTCCCGGACTCTCTTCCCCACCCGGTGACTGACGCTGCGCTGTGCTGAAGCTGAACGGTTCAGCCTGAACCTTTCCCCTACGTCTGACCGTTCCCCACTCCTCTGTCAATCGAACCATATGCCACCGCTTACGTATTGTCGCTCGCCCACCCAGGTACCTAGCGGC